TTTTTGTACTGGGGTTTGAACTCCAGATCTTCTGCTTGCAAGGCAGGCAGTGGCACCACTGAGCTAAATGCCCGGCCTGAGAATAATATTTTTAATACTTCTCAGGTAATTCAAATATGCACTTGTGCCTGAGAATCACTGAGCCAGGCAAGCAAAGACCATTGAGCTTCTGAATAGAAGGTGAAAGTGTTGTGTTAAGAATGTGTTATTAGATGGATTTGAATGGGGAGAGCCTGGAAGGGTGAGGAGACTTTCATGATACCTGTAAAAGTATCAGCCTCTTCCATTTTTGCCTCGCTAGGCAAATCTACTTAAAAAATCTAAATCTATTTTGAAAAGAGAGTTCCAATTACCTGTTATGCGCTGTGCTTAGTGTTGGTAATAACCCTGTTAAATAAGTAATAAACCCAATTTACAGGCATGCATGAATCCTAAGGATTACACTAGTTAAGTAACATGTCCAAGAGTATAGTAAGTGGAGGAAACAGGAATCTAACACAGTTTCTCTCCCTCCAAAGCCATGCCCTTCTGTTATATCTTGGGACAAGTCACCCCTACAATTTAAAAACTCAATGTGTAAAGCTATGCACCATGCCAGCAAGGGCACCTTTAATAAAAGATGAAGGGGCACCAAACAGGAAAGAGATATGGCCCCCTTTTTATCCTGGTTACTGTTACATGCCATCCAGCAGAAACTGAAAGCGATCCCATGAATCATTTTAGTCAAGCAACAGTCACAGAGGTCTGGTTCAAGCTCACCACTGAAATAGCTGCATTTTCTCCAGTTTGCCACAGATGTCTTTTAAAAGGCTTTGTTTTCTTATTTTATTTCTATTTTATTTGCTCAGATGTGACTAACAAGTGTTTGGATGTCAACATTTTAATTTTAACGAAGTAGTTCAAGTTGACATCAGGTATCCCCCTGAATTCCTTTATGATCAGCAAACAGCCTAGTTTATTGGTGGCATAAAACAATTTCAACATTGATCTTCTATGAAACATTTACATTGCCTAAATATACCAATTGGACAGGTGATACCTAGAACAGCACCAAAGGTGTACATCCAGAGTATTAAGAGGGAAAATTATTTCATTACAGAGGCAGCTTTGATGAACCCACCTCCAAATTCTGTGTGGCTTGTGTGACAGAAGCATTTGATTACCTGCACCGACTAGGAATTATCTACAGAGACCTGAAGCCAGAAAACTTAATTCTAGATGCTGAGGGTTACCTCAAATTGGTAAGAGACATTCACTCACTTTCAGATTTGTGTAAGGTATCTCTAAAACAAAGTTGTGTCACAGATGCAGTTTTCTTCTTAATTTGGGTACAGTTCTTATTTTCTCTCTCTGAGCTAAGGTTCTGAAATTGGCATACTTAATACTGGGAACAATATTATGAGGACATTCTTTTTGGCCTAGGAATTGAATGATTTGACCACAGTTGTGCCTTCTACTAAAGATTCACATAACAAAATGCCTCTAAAATTGGATTTTTAAAGTAGTTTTGTTAAATTGAACTAGGTTTTAATTGATTCCTACTACATGTAGGACTGGCTGTAAGGAATAAGGAAAGAATACAATATGACTCCTGCCCCCAAGACACCCGCTGTCCATATAAGGAGAAAAGACAAACTAAGCATAGAACCATGGAATTGTTTTGAAATTTTTCCAGGTGATTCTAAGGGGCAATCAGGGCTGAGTACATGAGGACAAAGATTTTTCTTGCTTTCTGTCTTTGTGATCCATTAATGCCTAACAGGAACATCTTTGCATGTCACACTAAAGAAAAAATGGCTACCAGTGACATGAACTGAGAAACTAAAATAGACCTGGATGGCATAACTGAGAAGAAACCCCCACACTTTGGAGTGCTTCAGGAGAGAATCCTACAGGTTGGGTGATGTAGGCCCAGTCTTCCTGGGTCCATTTCCATAGTTTTTCAAGGACATTAAAGCATCTGTGAGCTTAACATATACAATATTACAAGTTTCCTACCTCAGAACTTTTATACAAGAAAATATTGCAATTGTTTAATAAGCAGTTACTATGTGTAAAGTTACTGTACTAAACCTTTTACAGTGACTCTACTTAACAATCTACAAGATAGGATCCACATGCTCTCCTTGCAAAATGTAATGGTAGGAATTAAACTTATGTGTAAATTCTAAGACCTCTCCTCACAGTGGAGTAAAATAAAAGCCCTTTCATGTGAAACCTGGCTAACTTCCAAGAAACATTTTGATCCATTCAAGCTTCATTTTATCTATGAAAGACAGCTTTGAAAACTGGTGAGGTACTAACACAAGGCCACAATCATTCCCCTTATTCACAGTTCCTTCATTTACTGTGCCTCCTATGGCTCTTTAGGGAAACCCTTTGGTATATTCTAGAAGTAAAACCATCTTGGGGGATAAAGGCCATCCATTGGCTTCTTCATCTCTTCCTTCTCAGAGCTGTTTTTTTTTTTTTGAAAAATTCAGATAGTATAGTCAGTATTTATAGGCATAGAGATCAGTGACTCCTGTTGGCCATTGTTATCTGTCCTGCTGATTTGCTTGCCAGCCAGCTACCTGAAAAGTAGGAACTAAAGCCTGTATAGATTAAAAAGTGAGTGTTTAATATTTCCATTTCTAACTATATATTATTCTAGACACCTTGAAAACCTCTTATTACCAGATGTCTAAAAATCCTAGATGGGACAAGAGGAGCAGTATTACAAATGCATGGCTGAGTGTCTAAGATAGCATGAGGGTCCCTCTGGGGCTGGGAACTGAGCCTAAGCCGGAGTAGGTGTGGAGCTCAAGCCTTGCAGCTGCCAGCTTATGCACACCAGCAACACTGTAGCCCAGAGGTTTCATTTTCATAGCTGAGTCCTAGGGGAACAACGGACCAAGCTTTGGACCTGGGAAGTGTGGGAAAGTTGAAGCAGAGAACATTGTATAGAGCCAGAAATCACAGAGATTAAACTCCTGGAGAAAAAGAAAACAAAATATCAAATTTATAAAGACAGACTACATGTGAAGAATCATGCCTTTCTCATTACTGGCTCTTGGTAGGGGAACAAAAAAAGTTGCCTCTAAGAATTCTTGGCCACAGGCTGCTCTTCATGAAGATTGGGGACCCCATCTTCAAGTATGGGAAAATGCAATCAAGAATTTAAATGAAGATGCATCCATGTTGGTAACATGTCCAAGTTCCCATGAGCCAGTGTATACTGCCTCTGGAACAATACACTCTTGACTCACGACACCAGGAACTCATGGAGATAAAGTTCCTGGGAACATGAACTCCATTAAAAAATAATAATAACAACAAAATAAATATGTAATGGAGAAAGCTACCATGAGCATTAATTGTCAGAAAAAAACAAAAATAAGTAAAATGGAAGAGGATACTTTTAAGTGCCTGAAATTGGAGTAATCAGATACAGAATGTACATAAATGCATTGAATGCATTTTAAAATAAAAGGATGATAATGAGTAAGGAAGAGAGGCTCTCAAAAAAGATCTAACAGGTCTGGGAAAAAAACCTAACAAAAAAAATCTTTTAACAAATTAAAAATATAATACTTGAAATTAAATATGCCATGAAAGTTTTCATTCATAGTGGAGTAGTTTGCATTGGACCATCCTCTTGAGATTGATTATAAATACTTTATAGACATATATGAAGGTGCTAGAGAACAACAAAAAATATATGTTCAAGCCTTGAAAAGTGGACACCATGCTAGGTGAGAAACACATTTAAACAGCTGCTGTTCAGCTGTTCACTCAGGGCACTCTCTGAAAGTTTCTAGATCACATCACACCTGCTCGTGCAGTAGTGAAGATTTTCCACTGGACTATGAATATCTCATCATAAGTTTTGTTTAACATTGTATCAGAGACCCTAGCAAAAGAAGAAAAGCAACAAAAGGACAAAGATTCAAAAGGAGGAAGTGACCTTCTGTATGTGCAGACAACATACATTTTTTTTTTGAACTGGGGATCGAACTCAGGACCTTGTGCTTGGGAGGCAGGTGTGGTGCCACTGAGCTAAATTCTGGGCCCAACATATATCTTTTATGTACAAAACTCTAAAAACAATCTGCCGGAGAAGTACTAAAATGAATAAGTAAATGAAGCACGTGTATAGGTGCAAAATTGATAGACAAATAAAATTTTGTTTTTATGTACTAGCAACAAAAATTTATAAATGAAGTAAAATAACATTTATAGTCCCATCAAACACTATAAAATATATTATTAAGATAATATAATTATAGATACATTACACAATGAATGTATACAAATATATAGTAAATACTCTGCATTGAAAACCACAAAAATGTCACTGATAAAAACAGTTAAATGACAACATATACTATGTTAATGGACTATATAACTCAGTATTAGATGTCTTTCTTTTTTTTTTGCTTAAATTCTTTTATTGGTACATTTTAGATATACAGTACATTTACATTTATCACTGGGTGCTTGTACTTGTACATGCTATATCTTGGTTCTTATTTTTTCCCCATTACCTGGGTGCCCTTCAACCCCTCCACACTTCCCTATTTACATAGATTTCGTTTCCATTTTTTTTTCTTTTCTCATAATTTTTCCTTTCCATTCTTTCCTTTCCCCATCTCCTCCCACCATCCCTACGCCTTTGGAACTTTTCCTGTTTCCAAGTATCAATTATTAGTTATTAATCCTTTTAATCCTTATTTACACTCTCAGTTTCTCACACTAAAGAAACTATTCAGTATTTGCACATGTTTATCCTATTTATTTCATTTAAAGAGCATGGCCTCAATATGCATCCATTTAGCTATAAATGTCTCTAGTTTCTCATTCTTTATGGCTGAGTAGTACTCCATTTTATTA